TATATATATACTATACTACACTATACTATACTATATTATATTATACTATACTATACTATACTATATATTTCTATACCTCCACAATAAGTTAAATGTGTTATGATTCCAAAAACAGTGAAAATATTGTTTTCTCAGCACTTCATTGTTAGAGACAATGATACTGTCATCCACACAAACAATGTTGTAATAAATAACACATCTGCTCCCGAAGACGACACTAATGCAGGGAATATTCCTTATATGGTGCTCAATGTGACCAGTGGAAAAAAAAAACGACGGGTTTATGAAAACCATAAAAACAGCCGTTCTCTTCACTGGTTTCGCTTTCAACACTTTGTCACAGTTGTATTTGGTGTTATGCTGCTTTGTGGTTTGCAGTGTGCTATTATGGTAATATGGGGAGTCCCTACTGGGGACTCCCGTGGGTGTTGTAACCTGGCAACAAACCAAAAAAAAAAAAAATAGGATACCTGGCACCTGTAAACAGACACTTTCACTCCTTATATAGACACAGCCTTAATGTGGAATTACCCCTTTCATATAGTGATTAGCAAATCACATATTAACAAAATCAATCTGCCAAATTTGGTGATTTTTCTTTGCTTTTAGAGGAACATCTGGCTGGTTCTTCTTCACTCCCCTGAGATACAAGTTACTGATGTTTGACACACTTTTTCCATTAAAAAAAAAAAAATGTTTCATGTAAAACTTCCATCAATGACCATGATGTCATATGTTTCCTACTAATAACTTATCAGCAACTCTCTGTTTATCTATTGTCTTGTAAATATTTATTATGGCAGGTGCCTCCTCTACCAATCAAATATTGATTTTTTTCTTGTAGTATATTAATATGTTTACAGTTAGGACTATCACATTTTGAAAGGAACAAAGTTGCACCAGTATCTCGTGAGGCCATGGCTTTAGGGATTGCGTTGTTTGTCCGTCTCTCAGTCCGTCTTTGGCTCACACTGAAATATCTCAACAACTATTGAGTGGATTAAAGTGATTATTTTGAATTGTGTGCGGACATTCATTGTCCTCAGAGGGTGAAGCCTGATGTTTTTGGCAATCCCCTCATTCCCCTCTAGCGGCCCCATGAAGTTCATATTTACACCATCCACCACACCAATTATGAAATTTGGTACAAATATATGTATTTTCCTTCAGGTTGAATTGCAGTAACTTTGGTGATACCATCATCAGGTGAATATTTAAATTTGACCTTGGTTTATGACCAAATACTGGCCAAATAATAACATTCCCATCAGCCTCAAAATGATCTGTTTTAAATAACTGCCTAAACTCTATAAAAAAGACTGGATGGCTGATAATAAAAGAGGATCTTCTGCTCCACCCAGTCTTGTCCCTGAGGCCTTTGTTCTCTTTCTTCTGCTGGTAAATCCTCCCTAATTTAAAATATAGGCGTCACTATGGACCTGGCTCTGACACTGCACCAACATGTCAGATGTTTGGTTGATTCCTGTTTTTTTCCAACTGGGAAACTTTAACAAAATTCAGGCCCATTGTGATGGAAATTATAATTCATGCTATTGTAACTCCCTCTTCACCTCCCTCAGTGAAGCATCCCTGGACCAAACTGCTGCTGCTAAGCTTTTAACCAGGCACTCCAAAAGGTCTCATCTGACACGATCTTGATTTATCTTCACTGGCTTCCCATCAAACTCAGAATCCAGTTCAAGGTGTTTTGTAAGCTATTATAGAGCTCTGCATGGTCAGGCATTAACATATCTGCTGCAGCCCTTTATTACCAGCAGGTCTCTAGGTCCTCTGATCAGGTTTTGTTGGTTGTTCCAGGATTAAAACTAAAGGAGGCTGCTTTAGGAGCAGCACAAGACTAACTTTAACCTTTTATTATTTTAATTTATTTCTATTTTAGGGTGTTTTTATTATTCCAAAGTATGTCCTTTGACTTACTTCTTTTTGTGAAGCACTTTGTATTAAAGCTTTTATATAAATAAAGTTACTTACTTGTCATTTTGTGCATGTTATCATGCTGACATTAGCATTTAGACACAGCTTCACAGAATCGTTGGAACATTAGTGTCTGGAAACTCCCAAATCAAACTCATTTGTGGTACTTGTTAAAAAAAAATGTTTTCAGTTTTAGAAAAACTTTAGTATCTGTAGTACATACTGTAGTATCTCTTCTTTTAGCATGTCTGCTTTATGGCAATATTGATTTTTGATGAAGTACATTGATTAACAGGTCATATTAGGATAATGTATCACCATATATGTATCAATACTGCAAAATAAATGAATAAATATCCCTATGACTTACTCCTACAGGGCAGCGTGAAGCCTTTGTTTTCCAGAAACATTTGCCATTTACCAGAAGCGTCTGAGGAGCAGCTGTGATCACCTGACAGAGTGGGTGTGGTTACAGTGAAACTGAATTGAACTCTGAATGTTACACCTGTGGTTTTTAACTCTGATTTAATCTCACATAATTTCTATATTTGATTGTTTAAACCAAATATGACTCAGCTCAGTATTCCCCGCAGACTCCACAGCCTGGCAGACAGCTCTGCAAAAGTTCAGGCGCAGTCTGAAACTGGTATTTTATTACAATAAGAAAAAAACATTAAACAGCTTTGAGGAAAGAATTGGCCGTCACTCATTTTGACTTCCTGTCTTATCCTATTTCAGGGTCCTTAGGTTGACTTTTGGACAGTTTATTATCCAAGAACACATGATTACAATGAAACTACAGACCCTGAAGTATTTAAGTGGGAACAGATAACATTCATGTTACTATTTTAATGCCCTTTTAAGCACAGAGTCTCCTCATGTGCAGTCTCATGGAAATAATAATTTTGATAACAAAGACATGGGTTCAAGATCACAGTTGCGTTTGATCACAATCATTAATCTCATGGCAAAACAAACCTTAAGTTGTTATACTTATAAACACGGTTTTACTGCAGGTTATAAACGTTGCTCTAAAGGTCCAGTGTGTAACATGTAGGAGGATCTACTGGCAGAAAT